TTTCCCAAATTAAAAACAAAGCATATATGTCAATTTGAAATTCCTAGTTCTATAGTAAATATGACATCTAGCAGATTAAGATTTTAGTCTTGATTAGTCAGAAAATTGATAAATTTCATTTTTAGGAAAATGATCTGGAAAGCAAAGGAATAACTTCATGAGTAAGCTGAATATGTGAGGCCTTTCAAGAGAGGTTCTGGATTGCCAGTCAAGCCTGAAAGCAAAAAATTTCACTGTATGATGGTTATCTAAAGCTGGTAAAATTAATTTTTCCTTTTTATCTAACTCAAGGGGGCTATTGTGTAACTGTAAAGTATAGCAGTTAGAAACCAAACACTGAAATCTCAACAACTATCTTCTCATGCTTTACAATAGGTGTTTTAACACTAGAAAGAGGTGATGTAAATCAGCACGTTCCCACTGCCTGTGCCACACCTTCCACCCAACAAAGAAAAGGATTTCCATTTCCAATGCCATAGCAAGTGGCATCTATAAGAAGCACTTACAGATGACTGACACATTTTTTAGCATGGAAAAATTACACTTGCAAGTTTACATAAATTTTATCAAATCATTATTGGAAAGAAAAATCTACACAAGATTGTTCCGATATTTTCTTTTAACATTTCTTATTATGTATTTCAGTTGCTACTAAATTGCTTCTCCTTTTGGGCAGAAATGTGCACTACCAAAGCACTTATCTCAAAGTGTCTACACTATCTATAAAAGCAAGTCATCTCATCAGTCACATGCAAAATGGATATTGGCTATAACAGGAATATTTCATGTAAGACATGAACAGAACTTCAGTAAAGTATTTTATGTAATGAAAATCCCACTGTTTGAGAATATTTTAATCTCATTAGAACTAAATATAGTGCTATTTCAAGGTATTTATAACTTCAAAGTAATAATTCCAGGTGAACTGAAATTTAAATGGTAGGCCCCATGGAAATGTAGTATTAACAAACATCAATTAATAGCAACATCAGACTGAACTAGTGGTCCATCTAAATTAATATCCTGCCTCTCTCTCTCTCTCTAAGTAACTAAAAACACGTTTCAGAGAAGGGTGAAAACATTCTATTCTGCATGTGGCTTATTGTAAAATACTTTTGGTAGGATAGATCACGGGAGTGGACAACTTGCTCTAAAACCAATTATATTTGCTAACTGTTAAATCAGCATTTTAACCAGTACAGATGCTTAATAACCAGTACAGATGCTTAATAAAATTATCAGCATATGCTTTAGTCCATCCCTTGTATCCCTCTTCATAGCTTCTTGTGGCAATTACTTTTAACATAAGCATTACATATTGCATAAGTTAGCTTTTTAAAAGAGACTGATAATCTTTAACAATAATTTATCCTTAGAACTCCACTCTTTCATCCATTTTTTTCAACATACATACATATACGTATACACACACACACACACAAACTACTACTAAATTGTTACCAGTCATATTAAGTACCGAGGCTAGCAAAAAAACAAACAGGTTTTGAGGTGTAAGAACTGCATGCAACAGTAAAAATTAAAGTTGCTGCTTTCTATTAAATCCAATTTACATGATATACTTCAACCAGTAAACCCTAATCCAACTCATTTTCTTCTTTCATCTTGCCAAAAAATCTCCAGTTGGACGTGTCATGATCCTCTGATGCTGAACAAACAATCTGGACACAACACAGCATGTGCTTATCCAATGTATTACAGCCTATTGACACACTAACTAATACATTTCATTTTAGCAGCTCTAAGGGCTTTCCTTCCCTTTAAAAGTCTGATGCCTTTGAACAGTATATACGCCACTGCTCACATTATACAGTAGTGGTTTGATTTATATAATATGTGTATTACATATACACGCTACACATACACAGATGCACACACACGCACACACAGAAATAGCCACCTATATTGAAAACTTGCAAGGAATACACTTTCCTTCCTATGATGGTGCACACAACACAGCTATAGCACGGAAAGAAACTCTAGCTTGACTGGAATTGTAATTATTCAATCCTCAAATAGACTCAATAGAGTTTCCAGCATGGCCAGCATGGTTCAAAGAACTCCACACTGCTTACATGGATAAGACCCTACCCCATAGAAGAGGATGAAGATACACAGCTTCCGTTTCATTCAAATATGATTTGGGGCATTTATTGTGACA